AAGACTTACCTTCTCGTTAACGCGGCTTCCAAACATGAAAACAACCCCAAGCAAAGTCGCTATACACAAACTCCAGTAGAGGTAGCTGATAATAACGATGGTGTCTTTTTGGCTGCTTGCCGACTTGATGAGTTGATGGAAGTTGATACACAAAAGTGGTATGTCCAGTGAAACGATCACAAAGAGGAGCGGCGAGAACACAGCATTAGCCTGCTCTACCATCTCACAAAGCTTCAGGTGTTCCCGCCGCAGGTGTGCTATGGTGAAAGAGTGGAAGGATTCCTTGGACATTTTCTTTTGCAGAGTTTCGAACGTCTTTTCCAGGAGCATGCAGGTGATGCAGAAGATCAAGGCTGGAAGAATCCAAGCGAAGGAGTCGAAAGTCCCAAAGACCACTTCTATCACTCGCACTGCCAAGTACTTATCTGAGTGTGGATACCATGGTGGGAAAATAGAGATTATACCTCTGTAGCAGACACTGAAATAGGTGACGACAACGGTATTGATCAGAACAGAAAGGCAACCCAAAGCTAAACCTTTCACTGCTTTTTCCTTCATTCCTTCTAGTTCGGGTGTGTTCGTTCCAAAACTGGAAAGAAATCGAGCAAATCTCGATGGTCGCCTGTTTGGCGCTAATGGCAAAACGACCAAGCAAACGGTGGTGCTACTTGCGCATTTGGCATACCAAATGGTGGTAACGAATAAGAAGAAAAACTCCGGCGTTGTCGAGAAACCTATGTGAAAATGACTTATAACACTCAATACCACGAGTAGCCATTGGCCCAGAACGACGAGCGTGCTGAAAAATCGCGAAATGTAGCCTGTTCTTCGGCGACCTATTTCAGCCGGTGCGGTTTCTCCGAAAAACTGCCCAGACAATTTCATGGCGATCAAAATTGGACTGAAGATCGCTGAGAGCTGATTTCGATGATTTGTGTTCATTTCGTTTTCTCTCGGATATTCTTCGGTTGAACCAGTATTATGAGTGTTATTTATAGAACTTTGGCTAATTTCTGGAGGATACACTGCTCGTGATGATAGCATGGCGTTTTCCGAGCTTGAAATGAAGGTTTCTCAGTGTTGAGTTTCGAAGACGTCGTACAATGATGGACGAATTTATTCTGAATATTAAATCTTCAAACAGGTGTTACTCGCAAACTCAATTACACTGCAGAGAACTTGATAATGTTTTGTTATCATATGGAAATCGTTTGCAGTGTTTATTTATTACTGCTGACTATAAAGATCACTACCTTTTGACATAAAACTTAAACCAGCTCGATTCCAATGATTTAGAATAGTTTTTTAAACGAAAGGTTGCTGTCAAAGGACAGTGCTGATTGCTTAACAAATGAACTTGCATAACAACTTAGGGAGGACTCCATCCAAAGTTGACCATTATGGCAGCCGCTGATCTTCATTCAACCAATTACAATATGGCCAGAGGGTCTCAACAGGATATTGTACATGTTTTAATCTTTTTTTCATGTCTTCCTCTTTGATAAACTGCTTTGGCTGAAATGTTTGGTCGTGGAATTTTTTCCATATTAAATTATTTAGTGTTTGGAGTTACATTCAGAGGAATAAAGAGGTAAGAAAGAAAACTTTGTGTTGAATTCTTATTCGTTTTGTTTGTTTGTTTGTTGTTTGTTGTTTTTCTAAAAATGGAAATTGGGAACTTAAAGCTTCATTTGGTACGTGAAATGAATTTCAATCACTTCTGTTCCTAGGGGTTTAATTAATACTTTATCCTATGTGTTTACTATATATTCCTTATTATACGTAATGTATTAATGGACTCCGAAAGGGTTTGAATCAGTGTATTGGTGGTAGAAAAAACGTTCAAAAGTTATCTTTTTCATTCCCGTTCAATATTTACCAGGTGTAAAGGTGTGTAAAGATATTTTCTAATTGATATTCATGATCAATCGGATGAGAAGGAGCAATTTGCTCCTCGTTACTCTACTCCATAAGGTTTACAATATTACAGTGACTACGGAGTCTTACTAATTTTTTACCTAGTATATATTATGGTAAGAAAAGTTGCGTCGCTGTTTTTTAGTTTGAACAATTTATTAGAGTCAGCAATAGTGTTGCCCTCTTTTTTGGGTCATTTTTCAGTTTCAGTCTTTTGCTTGTATTATTAAGTTACACAGAGAATTATTCTGGCCATTTCCAAGCATAACGACCCCTGGCCATCTTCAAATTAAACCTTACGGCAACAATTCGTGGATTTACAATCACATCTCCTAGTTTATTCCCGGTAAAATTATGATTGCTCAACTCGTTTCTAAGTTGTCTGGTTAAGTAACAGCAAAATAGTTTCCACAGTTTCCGGGCATGAAGAGATCAGAAAACCAACTTTGCTTAGTGTATAGCTGGTTTGTCAGACGCAAAGTTGTTTCGAAATGTGCTCTTCTGGGTTTGTTGTTTTGCTTTTGTTCTCTTTGGATGTCTCAAACTTCCAATGAACAACAGCTTTAACAAGGCCACATCCTGTAATATTGCAACCCGTGAATGTCCTGCTGAGCACTCCTGAGTTGGAAGCTAAATTCCAAGCTTCTACAACTTTAGCTCTCTTTGGGTATTCTTCTCTCCGTGAGCTTAACTTGGTAACGTCACCAGTACGATGAAGTACGACACAATTAATCCAAAGAGCTATGGAACCAAATAAGGTAAGGTGTAATGCAAGAGACGCTTATATACACGTCAGTTTAAGCTATAAGATAACTTTCAGGTGGGGGTGGGGAAGGGGGTGGGAGTATACAGATTCAGGTGGAAGATGCCGATTTCTGCTAACCCTCAATTCAAGTAGTGGTAAAATTTCCGTTGTGGTTACCTGGCCCAGACATTTTTTTTCCTCGGGAAGCGATCTCATGTAACCATGGAAAAAACTGAGGGACTGAGATTCAAGACCGTAAAAAGAGCTTGTTAAACAGGAAGCCTGCAGTCCAAACATTAAATCAACCAGTCCATAAATCAAACGATCGATCGATCGATCAATTAATCAATCAATCAACCAATTAGTATTGTCTCGAAACTCGAATCTCTCGACTCTCGACGTCCGACCCCTGATTCCCGACTCCTGATTTTTTTTAAGATGAAATAGCCTATTTACCCGCTTAAGCTTTGAAGCCCTCCTCAAACGCCCTATCTATATAATGCAGTAATGTAGTATTTCTTATTTACAGTCATAATTTTTTGTCATTTGTATACTAACCGTGAGAAACACCGACTTGCTGATAACCGCCAATCCCCCCACAGACAATCCGATGGGATCTCCCCGCAAGTGGGCAAGGAAGAGCATCAACTACACAAAATAAAAACCATTACGATGCCATTAACATTGTGGTATATTTTACTAGACTGGTCGGTTGACTAGGTCATAAAATATTTCGATGAATTCGAAGTGAGAGAAAATGATTTGAGTTGTATCCTAGACCCGTTTTCATATGTGAGTTGACTGTGGAGTTGGTTAACATCCTTGCTCCGATGGTTTTTTTCTGCTGCAATTTTGTACATGGGTTCGCGAGAGGGGACTACACTTCTGAAGCATTATTTAAATGCAGAAAAATTTTCTGTTTCCTACAAGAGGCTAACAATGTTACTGCGCACTTTGGCAAAGAACCGATGTCATAATTGATGAATATTTTTCTTCTTTTCTTTCTTTTCCCCACAAAGTCATATATATAACATTTAGCGATTACTGCTGCATTTGCACAGTATTGATAACGCTATTGTTTTGTTCATTGTTTGTAAGGGTATGGACCTCGTGTTTCGTTCGACTCCTGATGATGATTGAAAAACCCTTTTCGTTTCCAGCACGTACCTCAGTATGTTCTTTTATGTCTTCGACAGAAAACTTAGATTTCTGTAAGGTTTCATAGAAACTGTGAGCCTGCAAGTAAAAAGTTTCGGGAAGTAAGCCGACTTCAAAATATAATGCAGCTTATGGTGTCTTATAACACTTTAAGACTTACTGTTGCCATATAATACGAATAAGGAACATTTAGTTTACATCTGGAGTGAAATGATTTATGAGTAGAGAGTCCCAGATCTAAAGCAGTTCAATCTGCATCACTATGGCAAAGTGATAAGGGGCAAAACATACTCCATTTTTAACGAGTGATAGAATATAGCTAGAGGGAGTTATAGGAGTGATCCGGGCAGATTTATGCAAATTAGCGGCCAGTCACCTGGTCTTCGGTGAAATCTCGCTGTTAATTTATTCTTTCAGCAGGTGATTAACGTGATAGGGTAGCTATAGGGACCTGGAGTAGTGACCAGATAATGCAAATGAGCAGTCGATCGGTTGGTCGTGTGGGGAATGATTGTTGTGAAAGGTATGCGTTCTCACGCAACATACAACCACTAGAAACCTTTTTGACAAACGTCCTTTTCAAATATCACAGGTTGGGTTAAAGAGCTGATTGGTTGATAAGGCTAAATTACAATGTAACCTATATACAGGGTGCGTCAGTTTTACAGCAAGAATAAAGAGAAACGTTTACTGTAATCCCCAGAGTTGTACCGAGTTTTCAATTCTACGTACACACTGTTTCTGAGTAAACATTTTTGGAGCCGTACACATTTTCGTTTTCGTGCCGAATGTGTTGATCTTACTACGGTGTTTAAAATGACATAATTGCTTTTTGATTTCTTTTTCTCGACAATCATGATGTATACACATACGATTGGTTTCTTTAAAATTTGCTTTGCATCAAATTTGCCCAGCCGACCCTAATAAAAAGCCCAAAATAATTAGGAAACTGCACTTAAAAATGGAAGCAATATAAAGGAAATTCATTAGTGTCCTGTTCCACGAGATATTAATACAAATTTTTCAAAAAAAGAAATAGTGTAAATGTTAAATAAATGGAAGCAATTTAATTTAAATCTGCTGAAAATCACTTTGAGGCTTTTTAATCGCCCCAGAGATGTGCCGAAGCAAATGAAAATGAATAAATTAAAGACGAATGTGGCCTACAGTAACATATATTTTATATCCGAGTTTTTTACTTCTGTTTTTTTTTTTT